GAAAACGTCAGAGACTTATAAGAAATGAGTAAAAACGTACCCCACATTGGATGAGTAAGTCCGTATACTTATTCACAGAAAAAGAAAATGATATACACAATCGGTTGCTTACCTAGTTTTACTAATGTACTCAGTATTTAACTTACGCATTCACTGCAAAAGGAGTGGTGCCAATTTGGGCCATCAGGTGGCTATGGCAGAAAAGTGGTGTTTTTGTTTTTGCAAAAACATACCTTGAGGTTATGCCGTCATGATTTGACATGAAATTAAGGTCAGTTTGGAGAGTCTGAGAAATGGCGGATAAAAAAATCATGAACTCCAATTTCTCTCTCATAATTTTGACATATAGTGTTACACTACATAAATATAAAGCTTCATATATTTTATTTAGAAAATATAGAAAAAAACTAGCATATAGGCATGGTGACCTTATTGTACATGTATATCACTTTTATCATAACAGCGATACTCTATACTTCTCTTGTGCCTAAATACACATAAGTAACCGTACACGTTCTTAATATTTAGGAACAAATTTGGCGGCTGACGTAAATTATTCGATAGCCTGTGGTAAACATGAACTTTCTTCAAAAATATTGACTTTGGTAGAATAAAAGAATGTTTCGGTAATTATGAGCAGAGGTCATGAGATAAGAATAGGATTTAGCCATTTGCTTTTGCTTTTTTTTTTTGAACTTATGATAGTTAAGGGAACGTCATTTCATTGGCAGTCTGGCATATGGCATGACACATTTTCAACACGGCACCTATAAAAAAACGACTGGGAGGGATGGGGATTGTTTCACTATTTTAATAGTAGTTTGAGACGGAGTTTATGTCTTTTGGTAATATATTCCAAGCATTTACTTCCTCCAAAGTTTGTGTCTTATAGTATTTAAATTGCTTGATCTGTGATAGCAGGGAAAGAGCTTGACTGCCGTACTAAGTCATCTAGACGTGACGCTATCATGCCATTCAATATTTTGTGAACCTGTTTTTGTTTTATGGCCGTCTCGTTTAGATTTAAGAGTTTGCCTGGGAATTTCTAGGTAGCTGATATTTGTCAGTTTGGAACCATTATTTGTGCAGCCTGTCTTTGTATATTGTCTACTATTTGGGACTGTGCAATCGTTATAACGTCCCTAGCTAGATCACATATTCAAAAACTGGTCTAAGTAGAAAAAGATACATTTTGAAGGATAATTAAAAGATTTGGAATTTGAATTAATGAAATGCATTCAGTTTGCCAAATTTTTGCTTATTATTTTTAAATGCTCTCTCTTGGAGCCATTTCCAGCATAAGAAATTGTATTATTAATTTGATTTATTTTACTTCATGGTAAATATTGTCATTAACTTTCAAATGCGGATGAAAACTGACTTCTAATTTTTGTACTGTATATGATTTTGAAGGTGTATAGTAACCCATAATAATATTTGACACGTATTCCAAAATTTGGCATTTTAACTAGTAGTCCACGGCGCCATCCTCGGACTAAGGCTTAACTGATGTTGTAAAATAACTATATTTTTACCGTTCTCCATTGCCTTCATTACTGATGTAGTTAGAAATACATAACAGCTGATTATCAGCAGTAAAATTAAATTAAAATGAATATACAACATTCGATATAGCGCCCTATATCTATCTAGCTAGAATAAGCCACTCTAAAGCGTTTTATAGTACCTAGGTATACAATTTATACAATCAGTACATTAACAGTTATATTAAATGACACATTAATCAAAACAATTTTGAGGAATTTGCTGAAGCTGCCTTATCAAGCGCTAACTACTAGTCCTATACCACCTGGCTAATATATCCCTATGTGTGTATGCATGCATGTGTGCTGTATATGTCTTGTGTTCTGTTTGTAGTAGGACCGTGCTTCCAACGACATCTTTATTATAGGTAGTGCCACCTCACTTGAAAGCTACAGCACATATACCGCAATACCGAACCCATTAGTATGTTATACTCCACCTGGGTTGTTGGAGTTGTATGGGCAGGAGAATAACACTTTTTCTTAATATCTCATGCAAACGACGACATCGGAGATCGAACCTCGGCCGCCTGCGTGGAATGCCTGAGTATACACCACTCCACCAATCCAATCCGGCCATAAAGTAGTCTAACAATCTCCCTAAAACCTGGCTGACTAGAAGTTAAGAGAGCGCCATCTAGACGATCGTTATATTTACAGTTATATGTTACACAACATATACTACTAGCAGCATAATAGGCCACTAACTTAATATTTGGGAATGTCATATTTCTTGGAAAGAATTGGTAAAATATTTTTCCTAATCCATTTATGAGGGAAACGCTTTAAGATAACTTACTTGTTGACAGCAACTTTTGATGGGTCGCTTTAGACAGCGTAGGCTTCTAAATTTGGATTCCGATTGACTGAGTAGGACGACGACAATGGCGTGAAAGCCTGATTATCTTCACTGTTTGTATTGTTGCCCAATTTCGGTGCGATAAAGTATAAATAGCCATTGCGGAAGAGAAACACGAATCTTTGAAAACACAAAGTCAAGTCTCTGTACCAAAAGGACGTTAAATGCATTATGATAAATTAGTTAGGTTATGGATAGGTAGCAGTGGATCACTATACTTTTCTACAAATATCTTATGCTTATTTATCTTGCCACATATGAAACTGGAAAGGTTTTTCAGTTAGTTTGTTTATAATCTTATACAATACATATAAAAAAGAACTTACCATTGATTTAGATTTTACAACAAATTGTATGAATTGTTATATAATATAAATATTGAGCTAGTGTTATCATATGTGACTTTTTTGAAATTATTTGATATACTTATCGAACTGGATATTTTGTGTATTTTCTATTCTTTTATGTATAGCCGTAAAATAAAGGTTTTGTCACCTCTTACCTGAATAATTGACCTTCTTTGAAACCGAACGCTATTACCGGGTATATCTTGATGTTAATTGGTCTCACAACGTGCTTTTTCAGATCCTGTTGTAATTTCTGTACACAATGTTTCTTGATAATAGCAAGTTCAGTTTCCTTTTCCCAACATTAACCTAAGATATGATCTATTTTTCCATGGTGTTTTGGTTCATGTATTTCATTGTCCTGTAAATTAATGAGTGTATGAGGAGAAGTACGTCAGGAAAGATGCCATTCGGTCTCAACGATATGCAAGAGTATCCAGATCCCAACACGACAGAACAGTGACAACAGCCTGCTCAAGCTGGATGGATTGACAATGCTTTCCTATGGAACATGTTAATGAATTTCCATAAGTTAAGGATCCGAAACCTAAGATGACAACTGTTCGTCGCTTCTTATTGGCTGCAACATATACGGCTAAACATTTAGCTCTGTTACAAATGATCCTTAATTGTGAATAAGACCAAGGCCACATTCGTTTATCGCGATCCAAACAGTTGAACCGGTTGGACCAGAGTTGTTCATTTACGGCTCCATTTAATTCAGATTACAGTGTTCAATGGCTTCTGATCGGAGGAGACCTTTTAGACTTTTGTATTACTGGTCGGTATGATGACGTAGCGTAACGTGCAGATTATTTTCAAAGACGCACAGGTATCAGACGCAATATATATAGCTTCATAAAAACAAAACAAAATCCCGGTCAGTCGTGCCACGGTAAGGCACACTACCTTTCTATCTGTCCCAGAGATATTTTTCGGCAGCGGCGTTATTGAATTATGTAGTGCAAACTGATTACTTAGCTGTTTTGGATTGGGTAGCAATACATTTCCAAAAATACAATTTAGAGTTTGGATACGAGCGCAAAACAGTAGCTTCCTATTAGTGCAATACAGCTCAAAAGGCCGATGGGTCTAATCCCTTTTCTGATGTTACACCTAAATACTAGCTCGAGTTACTTCCCTTCGAACTGTAAATTAAATTGATCAACTATTTTTATCATGCACATTAAGTGCACTTAATAATGAAGTAGGGTTCAGCATTGATATTTTGAAAATCTATCCACGTGCTCGTATTATTTAACCAGGTAGGGAAACTAATTATTTCAGTGTGCTGCTTTTTAATTTATTTGCTTTTAACTGCTGCAGAGAAAAAATGTTTTGTCGCAATAACGACTTACCAGTGGCGGATCCAGATACCTATCTGGGGGGAGGGGGGGTTCCAAATTTCCTGGGGGGGTTTCCATGTGGGGAAAAATTGAGGAAAATGGTGAAAATACATGATTTTTAAAGAAAATTCTCGGGGTGGGGGTGGGGGGGTTCCTGAAGCCCAAAATACCCCTCTGGATCCGCCACTGCTTACTATCACATAATAACGACAAAGCTTTGTCGCAATAACGACTTACTATCACATAATAACGACAAAGCTTTGTCGCAATAACGACTTACTATCACGTACTAACGACATCGTTTTTTTTTCTCGGTGGTCCGTACCGGCTTCCCTACCAAACAGCTGAAAAACTTGAAAAAATCGAATGGGAATGGAAATCTGGTAAAGTGCCCGAGGGCTTTCTGTATCAATACTAAACACACGGAGTTAGATTAGCTGTTCTCTCCTAAATTATTATCCAATAGGAATAATAACACAAATACAAAATCTTGTATTTCCCAGCGACATAGGCACTGACTGATATTTATTTACATATAATCATCAAAAAACAGCAACACAACAGTGTAAGTGTACATCTCACACACAATCATCACTCCTACCCTACTTATTTATAAATAACAACAACAAAAAATTCACGTGTGCACGGCTTTACCTGTGTCGCCTGAATGACCCGTATATACACTATCTCAGCACGTGCGAACACCTGGAGCACGATTAGAGCCACCTATTGGCTACTCTCATACCAAAGAGAAAATAATTTCATCCTAATTCCTAAACCGTCAACCGGTTGAAATTATATTTATCTAAGTCCGTGCTAAACAGTGATGTTAGTTTTTACGAATGCTCGAACACCCATGACTATTTGAGTATGACAATTCAAGGGCGTAAATTGGTCACCATCGGCAGTGATTGCCGTAATTTCAATATATATTTATGTTACTTAGTCACCACCTGACTGTGTCGCCTGTGCACATACCATACATACCTTCGTATCTGGTCGAGTAGAAACAGACATTACACATGGCTATGAAAAGTGAGTGCACTGAGGCATCAATAAGTAGGGGTGGGTATATACGACCGGTTTACCTGTGGGTTAATCGCTCTAATAGTCGCCATGTTCTGTCCCACAAAGTTTCCAAGCGTTCACTTGAGTTCCCCAAAATAAGTAGTCCGGATATGTGGTGGACCAGGAGTTTTGGACGCAGTCGGCTGTAGTGGACGGGACTACTTATAATAACCCTGGAACACAAGGAAGCTAGAACACAGGTAAGCTACAAAACGAATTGAAAAAGGAAGAAAAATCATTGAAAAGTGAACAGACATATCATACCCGCTTATTTGGCGATTATCGCAGGCACCATTCTCAATAATGATTTCTCTATAACACTATAAAAGTTCACTAACATTCTATACCTGTTGATTTTTTAAATGAAGGCACTTAGACAAAATAACACAGATTCTATTTCAAAGAGAAGTATGTCAGGTACGCTTGTATACATGTATTACATTTTCTTTTTATAGTATTTTGGAAGGTGCTCCCTATACAAAGATATGGTGTGTGCGCATGCACAGAAATTTAATATAAATCCTTACCCCATTCTGTACCTAACTTTGATGTATGTAATCTGATCTATTGTTACCTTACCTTCCCACAACCAACACACACACCATCACACAGTTGACTCCCATCCATGACGTGGTGTTTGATTCTCGATTACTGCTAAAAAAAATACTATTTTTACAAAATGCGTTCGCTTCAAAACCCCATATTTTATATCTTTCATGCAGTTTCAGACTTTTACATGTTCACGTACACGGGCCATGGGATGGTGATCTGTGCCACGCCCCTATGTATATGTGTATTTTTCAACGCTATTTAGTTAGAATATTCTAAAGAGCTATTGCGGGTTGCTATGCCTATTTCCCCACAGCTAGTGCGCGCGTCCAATCGTGTACTGTGATGACGCGTCCTCAGGTATTTGTATACAGGTAGCTAACAGACGAAAATAAGGCCATGGCTATTAATACATGCGTTTCACGATAAAGACTCAACAAAATGCTTATTTCGCGTTATGCTGTATGAAATAAAAGATCGTCCAACATTACCAACAAGTTTGAAAGGATTTAATTTTCATTACTACTGCCTACATCATGCCGTTACCTGTTTTTTCAAAAAGCACGTATCTTGTTTTTGTTCTTCCTGCACCTTGAAATGGTAAAATCACATATAGTTTTGGAATAGCATGTCTTACACGTGTATTGCGCTCCTAACTTCGTGATGCAGTCTTCCTGCATTTAAAACAAATGAGACTGGCCTCGACGATGAATTTTCCTGCATGTTCGGAAATATCTTTGTCATAAAAACAGTTCATTTTTTTTCCTTTGCCCTTTTTTTATTCTGATGCAACAATCCCATATATTTTGTATTTCGGCATCATTTGTTTGTGTTAAAATAATAAATAAAAATACTAATGCCAATTGGAGGGTAAAACAATTCATAGATATAATTTAAAATGATGTCTTAACTACAAAGCTAGCTGTACAGAGATTTGTTGACATGATTCCATAGAAGATAAATCAATAGGTATGTTATAAAAATATCAATAAAATANTTGTAGCGGTACACTTACGGGTACTGGTGGATTATTTACCTCAGGGTAGAGGTCCCAAATTTGAGAGACGTAAATCTGTAACATCTTTTAAATGTGGTAATTTAAATCTACAAAAAATCACATCCAAGTCAGAACAGCTGAGCCGGTCTTCAAGCCAAGTTTTGTATTGTATGCATATTATGTGTAGTATGTATAAATGTGTGTATAAGTAACAACCTGTACAACTATATCAATATCCAACATCAGTATCATGTTCCTTTAGTAGCTCCTTAATACAATCTAGAACTCAAACACTGTGTTGTTATTATTACTGACATAAATGTGGATCTTAGCAAGTGTAAGTATTTATGATAAGAAGAGGAGAGATATATAGGATTCTATCAACTTGATCACCATTATTAAAAGTATTGCTTTATTAACTAAATAACAAAATATCTGACCGATGCATTTTATCGCGGTCCATTCCTATAATAAACAAAATATTTGACCGGCTTTTAGAATTAATTTTAAAATAATTTTCGGTAATTGTCAAGTCGCTTGAAACCAATTAGATTGATTATTATGATGCATAAAAAGTTAGTCCTCGTAAGTCTGATTATAATTAATGAGCTTTTTGCTAATTTTTGGCATGTCGAATGCGATCAAAATTACATTTGTTTTTGATGATTCAAGTCGACAAAAAGATGCAACTTTTGAAAAAAAAGGTTGGATATTTACTGCTTAGCTGTACAATACGCGAGACTTTGACTTTCCCTTTCTTGGTAGTTACATCCTCGACTTCTAAATTTGCGGTGTTTACATGTCGCAGTGGATTCGGTATTGAACGCCTGCTCTGAAAATCATAATAATGATGAAAATGTCGACTGTTAACGGACAAACATACTTGACAGGGTTTCCAAATATGTTGGGCTGATTCAGACAATAGAAAGTATTTTAGTTGTCATCATGATCGAATGGGGAAATATCCTATTTCTTTGTGCGATGTGAAGTGATATTTTTTATTACATTCATTATTGTGCCTTGTTGTTTGGTTGTCATTACCCCGGTTGTCGCTATGAAGACATGCTATTGCTTGGTTCAACATATATTTATATGGCGAGTGTCATTGATTAAGCACAAGAAACTTACCGGAACACCTGGTTTTATTATTATTGTACTGTTTCAAAGGTCCCCATCTTAACACTTCCTTTATTCATATTTTGATAAAGTTTTATCGATTTTGAGATCGAGTTGAAGGTTTGCCTACATTTTGGTATTCTTTTGGGTTTTTTTCTTACATGAATCTCAGGTAAAGCGTATGTGATAACAAATAGAAATTATCGTTCTTGCTTTTTCATTAGGACACGAAAACATCAAAGGTAAACTTCAACACCCACACATTAAATTGTGTCATAATGCCTTCTCGATAAAGCTCTTTTTTTCGGCAAGGCGAGAAAGGTTTATTTTAAATGTTGTATTCATTGACCAAAGACAAACCAAAATCTATAATATGGTACTAAGTGGTCTCTGCTTGACGTTCAGCTTTGACTGGGTGTCAGTAAGATGTGAATGGGTGGGATATCTCCCGTTACCACGTCCAGATAGGGTTTTATCAGTATGATGGCACATACAAATGTATCATGGAGGAGCTATCATAGATACTGTCCTTGTATGGCAACGACTGGTGTAAAAACGTCGTACATTGAAAACAACCTAATATGCACATAACGTATAAGGGGATAACTCTTGTTTAGAAATATTATAGGTAAATTGTGCACAGTTACTTTTTTTTTGATGAAATATGTTATTTATTTATACATTCCAACTTGTATGTATTATCAACATTTATTCTGATTAACCTTTGACTGATTAACCTTTGACAGATTAACCTTTGACTCATTACCCTTGGACTCCTATTGTTTGTGTTTCAGGGGTTGTTTACTGTATTGCAGGCAGCGGCGTGACATGGTTTCTTGGTATTTTTCATCTTTCCGGTTACATTAAAGGTCAGTTATGAGAAAAACGCCTGGAAGTTTAGAGCATTTACGTCACAAAACACGAGTGCTGTGTCAGTAATATCACATAAAAACATACCAACAGTGACAACATTGCTACTAAACGTTACTCTCAGCAGCTCGTCAAGATCTGGATCATCTAAGTTCTTCTCACCAAGAAACATCACGAATAGCAATACAAATCACACAGAAAGCGTTTCAATGACTCAAGATCTGACGTTACGGACAAATACGTCTATCACATCAAGACATTTCATGGCTCAGAATGTCAGACAAAGAGCCAACATATCAAGGAATATTCGCAGAAATCAAGTGATTACTGTGTCAAACTGGCATGGTGACGTCATGCCAGCTCAGCCGCCTCCTTCAGACATTGTTCCTCTAAAATCCGCCAATTATAGTGTGTGTACTATCCTGATGGGAGGCCTTGGCAACCAAATGTTCCAGTTTGCAACGACCTATGGATTAGCTGCCAAGAAAGGAATGTCTGTAGCCATTGACAAAACGGATCACTTGACAAAGATTTTCAAATTGGGTGTTGTCGAAAAGGAAAATTATCGAAATATTTGCAAAACATTCGTTGGGAGAGGAGAACAATTAAATTGTGGATATGATGACAAAATGGCTACTTTTCCACCAAATAATAATTATAGAGTTGGTTCTTATCTCCAGTCATGGATGTATTTCTATAATGCTTCTACTTCTCTTCGAAAACATTTCGTGTTCCAAGATTCCATCAAAGAAACGCAAAACAAGGTGATCGATTCAGTTTTGAAAAAGTATAATTTTACATCTCGTTCCAACGTGACTTTGATAGGTGTTCATATAAGAAGAGCAGATTTAGTGAATCACACGTTTGGATATATGGTTGCTAGTAAGAGTTACCTTCAGAAATCTGTAAACTACTTTCAATCGAAAGAACTAAGAAACGTTATTTATATAATTGGTTCCAATGATATGAAATGGTCAAAGAAAAGTATGCCAAAAGGAGTCCGTTCGGACTATATGGAGGGGAATTCCCCTGAAGTGGACATGGCTATTCTTGGCTCGTGTGACCACATGATCAGCACGGTAGGCACGTTCAGCTGGTGGTCAGCATGGATGACCGGTGGGGAGGTCACTTTCTACCAGTGGCCAGCTAAGGAAGGGTCTGCATTACGGAGACAGTTTAGCAAAGACTACAAAGACTTTTTCTACCCAGGATGGATTGGATTTTCCTAAACAGATACTATGGTGAAATACATAATAGTGTTGGACGAGAATAGGACATGGAGGATAACTGTCTGTGATCAATGTTTCAATTCATATACATTTTGGGGGTTTTATGGAGTTAATCAATCACCATACAGTGGGTAATTAGTTTCCTCCCTTGTCAATATAAATATCAGACTTTGTTCGTTTTAAAGCTTAAGGTTCTGTATTTGGACTGATTTCCTAGTATAACACTGCGTGGACTATTTCCAACCATGTTGTGGCAGGCTGTCTTATCGTCCTTTTTAGGGTGACGTCATGGATCCGTACTTTCTGGTCATTAGCCCATTATTTTATCATTTTCGGCCTTGAGGTTTCAAATAAATTAGATATTGATATTGTTTTTATCTTTTATGTTACTTGTTATATTTCGTGCTGTTGTGTGGTCACGTTTTGATATCTAGGTAACAGAAATGAAAAAAAAAAAAAAAAATGCTATTATGTGATATCTCTTCCATCTTGACAAGGGTAAATGACATTAAAATGGTCACCACTTTAACGAAGTTTTCGCATATCTATCTCGGTTTGACACGGAAACTTCAAAAATGATTAAAAGTAAATTCAAACTAAGGAGAAATTTAATGTGTTGTAATTTGAGTATTTGGTGTTGATAAAACGGGATCAACCAATATGTGTATTAATGGTTTCCTGCATATTTGTGATTTTATTGTGGTTAACATGCATTTATGTATATTGTGTGAATATATTAGTATGATATCAACTGAAACAGTATTCATACAAAAATGACATATTTGAAATTGGTATCGATTTGCAAGCATATGAATTCCACGAAAGCCTGCCTCAGTAATGGCTGACTGCAGTATATCCGTGATGAAGGAATTAGCTACATTGATTTTTTGCTGATGCATTATTGATCAGAATGCAGCAGTATCATTTAATAGGTATGAATTTGGCGGGATGTCAAGCAAGAGCAAGGGGCTTTGGTAGTAAGAATATAAGAGACAAGTTTATATCGCAATATGGTCGTTTCTTCAAATGATATCACCGGAATCAATCAGCCGATCAGATCGTATCAGCCTCATTAAATATGTAGCAATTTTGTAGAACATCAAACTTGATTTAGGAACTTTGGTGTAGTAGTCATTTTAATCAATATCCGATAATTTTTCAAAAGATATAGCCAGGAATCAAAATTTTACGAAATCCAACATGGCCAATGGCAGCCATATTTAATTTTGGAACCAACTCGAAAAAATCTCCAAATCAAACATGAGCGGGTAACTGATACCTTAGGCATGCGCAGTAACTTTAATGAAAACCGAGGCATTCCTCCAAAGGTTATCGCACAAAAACTATGTGCATTAACAAAAAACTAAGATGGCCGCTAATGACCATGTTGATTTTCAGATTTGGTTCACTACTAAACATGAGAAGACACTTAGATACTTTGGGTATGTGTAGGATATTTCATGAAAATAGAAAGTTACCTTCAAGAATTATCGCATGCAACTTTCTTGTTCAGGAGATTATTTCTCATCGGATAGATGGGTCAGTATTTTATTGGCCTCTCGAACCAACTCCTTGAATTTATTGTATTGCTCTTACACCGTGTCCAACGGCACATTTAAGGTTGTGACTGTTCGAACACTGTGCTAACAGAACTTCAAAGCGGCATGTCGGTATCGAATGAAATACAAAAACTTAAATTATATCTTAATGCAAAATACATCTCTACTGAAGTGTAAAACAGGGATTAAACAATACACATAGAAAATCTTTCATTTTGTGAACCGTTTAAAATATAATCTCTTAACATGAAATTCAAATGAACTACGCGAAAACAAAAGTTTAGGCTTATTGATAGATCTCCCAATCTAGGTCAGTGTCAGTTAAAATCTCCCCACAAATCCAGTAGATATAAGCTTTCCAATGTTTAAGACATATCTTCAAAAGGCAGTAGGACATTTAAGCTTAAATCACTCTTCTCATAACTTTCGTTTGGGTTACCACATGGATATTTACATTCAATATCCCGAATGAGTACATTAGAATGGTTAGTACGGGAATCATTTGTCAAAAATTTGAAGATCTTGAAAAATGTTGACCCTTTACTCAGATGAAATGTATTGCAATTTAATTACTTTAATCAGACGAACATTATTACAATTAAAACAATAGGTCAGCCATATTGAGTAGACGGCAATATCTCACCTAATCTGATATAAACAATATCGTGATAAATAAGAGGCCCAGGTCGTATATATTCCCGTGTGGTGTCGGCCTTGTTGATATTTTAGATAACATTTCTGTGTGAAATAGAGCCACGTCGTTAATCATTTTTATATAAAGGACGGTTTTGCATTAAAACTTCGAAATGGAAAAACTGGTATATTTTCCTGGCGTTATCAGCTAATTGATATTACATACAACGCTCAATTTGCTTGAATGAGTTGCTCCACTTATTGTATATTATTTTTATTGATTTGTTGCGTTGAGGCGGCAGAGGCAAAGCTCTTATGAATATCAAATGTCCTGGGCTCGAAACCAATTGATCTTACCTTATTGCATTCTCTGTTAAAGTGGTGCCTGTTAATAAGCCTTGTTTTATTTCTAAACATTTTCTTCATGTTGACAAGTAGGAATTGTTAAAAAATTCATGTATCACAACCAAGTATTACTGAAACAAAGCGTAGCTGAATCGAGTCATTTCGGTACATAAATAACAACTAATAGTACATACGCTTACAGCGTAGCCAAATCGACATCGATTTGTGGACAACTCGTACACATTTTACACCATTGTGTACATACGCTTCACTGGTCATTTGTCTGATGAAGGTCACAGGGTACATACCGAACTAGTCATCGAAATGTCACATAGAAACACTTATTAGTTGTGATACATGCATTTTTTCACAGACCCTTGTTTTAAGTAATGTGTGTACGCTTGGCAAGGGGATAACTGAAGGGGTTGTAAATAGTATTGTCTTCGGATATGAACAGCGGGATTGTGTAAGATGACTGCCGGTGATTGGATAGAGCGTCCGTCCTCAGTTTAGAGGGTCAGGGTTCAAATTCGAGCATGGCTCGTTGCATTTACCTCTTCTGTAATACTTGTACATGTCATATTATTATCAAACGGAAGTTTACACAAGTATTTTGTTGCCGATAACGATACCGCCATGTTTGTAGTCACTAGACCTGGTTGATGTGCCCCCAATAATTATGTATGTGTTTATTGTATAGATCTTTTTTTTAAATTCTTGGACACTGTAAATGGATCAGACTATTAATGAAGAAGTACATCCTAATATAAATACAGGTTTTGACGAAGAGAAAGATACACTGGAAGTCTTGTCATACCCATTTATTCGGCTATTATTATGGGAAGCCCGATTATGTCGCCACTAAGATACTACCCTACATTATCCATCGTCTTTTGTCTTTAGCCCAATGATATTTTAAATTATCGATCCCCTTACTCGTTTGCAGCCAAATGTAGCAATAATATATTTCAGCATATATGTATATCTTTATCTTTCTCATAGCCTTTGTCGTGTTGGGCCACATTTCTTGTAACAAACAATAAGATTTCTCTAACAACCGGGGCGATTTCGACTTTACGATAATGAACGTTTCCTTTCTTGATTGCTACATCCGTGCATTCCTTACCTACTATGTTTCCATGTTGTAGTTGATTCGGTACTCAAGAGCTTGCTTCAAATATCATGACTTTCTTGATAGATGCCTACGAACAAACTAACAACTCACAACTCACGATTTCCAAAGAGGCAGGTTGATTAAAACTATAAACATCCTGATTTCGCAGGGACTAATGTCTACACTTTCTTGTTGTACGCCGATAGGACACTACGTTACCCCTACACTTTCCTGTTGTCAGCCGATGGTACACTACATTACCCCTACACTTTCTTGTTGTATGCCGATGGTTCAATACATAACCCCTACACTCTCTTGTTGTACGTCGATGGTACATTACATTACCCCTACACTTTCTTGTTGTAGCCGATGGTTCACTAGATTACTCCTACACTTTCTTGTTGTCAGCCGATGGTACGCTACATTACCCCTACACTTTCCTGTTGTCAGCCGATGGTACACTACATTACCCTTACACTTTCTTGTTGTAAGCCGATGGTACACTACATTACCCCTACACTTTCTTGTTGTACGCCGATAGGACAGTACATTACCCCTACACTTTCTTTTTGTACGCCGATGGTACACTACATTACCCCTACACTTTCTTGTTGATAGCCGATGGTACACTACATTACCCCTACACTTTCTTGTTGTACGCCGATGGTACACTACATTACCCCTCTATTCTTCTGTTGTCAGCCTTATTGTACCATGCATCATTCATCCACTCTCCTGCTGTCTATAATTATGAGCAAAAACAATGTTTTCGAGAAAAATGGGATTCATATTTCGCTAATACTAATAGCAGAAAAGAGAAAGATAAATTTACTTTATTCCATATATTTTTTAAAATAAACGTTACACGTTTCACTCGATTTCTATTAACTTTTTTAAAAGGTAACACCCCTGCTATGAGGTTGAATGCTTGAATTTATTTACAATACGCCTTTACATTGTAACACCGTGTATAATGTACATGGATGTCTCCCCTTTAAATGTGAACATACTATTTGAGTTTTCATAGCTGTGGTCTATAAATTGATAATGTTTGTCTTGGCCATTGATAAAAAAAAGGTTGATTGAAAATTTGAAATAGTATATTTCAATTTTTAATAATTATGTCAATTATGAATGTTGAAAAGCTGTATAACCTTTGAACAATCTAATTCAATTTCAAGAGACAAAACATTCCAAACACGTCATTCCTATTTCACCATTTTAAAATTATTATTTATAACAATAGCTTCACCCCTTTAGTTTAGTTCTCTTCGGTTAAATGTGTGTCCTATAAGAAATAAATACAGTAATTTTTTTCGATTCTATGTATAGGAAAAGGTAACTTCTTTTAATTTTGTCCTCAAGACCCTGACATACAGGTGATTCTCATCTGTTCTACAAAATACTGAATAATTGCATGATCGGCGAAATTATCTTGTATTCAAATTACTTTTCTCAATAGACCGAGCACAATTGCCTGACATCATAGGATTCTACCTGGCTCGGATCACGTATTTTGACAGTGTATATATACCGAGAGGTGTAGATGACCTATAACACTGGACTGTCGGTTGGACCAGCACATCGACAGGCAATCTTACTCTGGTGGACATGTATTTGTTAAGTTAAAAATTGTACAGAGAATCGAGAACGAAAGACTTTGATTCCTATCGACATGACAATAGGTAAAGTACAGTTGTTTCATTTACAAACGATTGACCTGCGAAGCGGTATGATTCTAATCTATATTTAACCACTACCCCGAGCAATTTTCTTTTACAGATTGAGTCTTATGTACAACCATATTGGATGAAGCAAAATCCAAAATCCGGTTAAAATAAGTAAGGATAAATATGTCTTAATGTGAAAAAGCTAAAACTTTTAAGCATAGGTATCTTTTTTTCAAAACAGGCTTTTTACTTAACGTGTATCGTTTGTGATATGTGTAAAAATGTCGGCATTTAACAGCAGTACAAATACTGGTATCTTCTCATTTTAAGTCTTCGATGCCTCAAGTATCATTTCATATATACTTCATACAGAATAAACTTAATAGGAGAATTTCTTCGGCATGGAAGCAGGCATTCACCAAAACCTGTTCAACGAGATATTACCAGAAATTTTTCTTTATTAGAAACGGTTTGATTCAATAATTGTTTAATAAAAACATTTCTTTTGTGAATCTATTAAATGTGTCAGTTTGAAATTAATTCATTGTTACAGACACAATTAATGTTGAATTGAAGATTTGCAGCTACTAACAACACAATCCCAGCTTCTCCTATGTGGTGTTGATTTTTCAAAATAATATATCTTTAAACCTTTGTAACTGTTGTTTACGGGCGACCGATGGCGTGATTATTGGTCCTGTAGTATCCTGACTAATCAAGCCTACCCCGTGTATGTTTATTTCCCTATAAGTTCTCTAAAAGACGGTTCCTGTGTATGTTTCACTAATCGATTTGGTATAAAGAAGGGTAAAGAATGACCAAACAATACGATCAGTTTATAGTGAATACAATCGGTAAACTTCCGCTTGCATCCCATATCCTTTATTGAATTGAGCATCTGATAAAACAATGTCTTACCAGGTATTTATACATATTTATTGTCTATAATTAAACAGGTTTTAACAGGTGACCCTGTGGTAATCACTGCTAGCGACTGACACATATTACATGTACCTAATATCCTTCCAACTGTCATTTCCCTTCACGTTGTCTTTACTTAGCCTATTTCCTAAAATTTTACACCACTACAGACTTGGTCCTATAACGTCTGCCTGTATACTACTAATTGAGGGTGTGGCTGTTTTCCTCCAGGAAACATGTGCTGTTTTTGCCCACAGAAATCATCAACAAATAATAATGTTCCATTTGGAAAACTGGACACTTGGTACGTTTGTCTGGAACGTCCACATTGACTTGTGAAGCATTAAAAAAAGAAAAAATGCAAACTTGTGCAGGTATTGACCCTGAATCGATTTTAAAGGCTTATTCAATTTTTAATTTAAGACCCAGTGATGATGAAAGTCAGATGAAATATCACACATGGATCTAAGAAGGTGTAAGTATTCATTTTATTAAGAAAATTCAATTTTGGATTTCTTGAAAAAAGTGACCTATTTCATCTTTTGAAAAGCATGTCAGTGAATAGGTAAATATTGTCTCTCTGGTTCTCTGATCAGCTTCTTTTATTTGATAATGGACAGGTAGCTATCAACGATCCTCTTGATATCGATTAATGAAAAAAGAAGTTTAGTTTTATTTCTTTTTAAGATCAGAAATTTAAGACGTATAAATTGCACTTTCCTTTATATCAAAATATATATACCATCATCGATGGAAACCGAAATTGGGAGCAACAAAATTTCATCTGCTAGGGGTTTAATTTTCAGTTAATTTAGATGAGGTTGTAACTTTGAATTATACCACAGTTCTAAAAATTGTTAATAAAAGTATTAACCAGTGGACACGCAGAATTTTAAAACCTCTTGGTCGGATAGAAGTATTAAAATCAATTTTTATACCAAAATTTAATGATCTATTCAAATCTGTTCCTAAAGAGGACAATCATTTTATTTAACAGTTGAACACTACTTTTTCAATTTTATTTGGCAATCACCAGTCGACAAAATTAGAAGAGACTATAGTCAAAAGCTATGAAAATGGTGGTCTGAAAATGATAAATATCAGGAATTTTATAACAAGCCTTACGTCTACATGGATTAGAAGATTACTCAAGAATAATGATAAATGTTGGACCAACATTTTTGAAGCAGAACATTTTATCGTCATCAACATATCAGATTTTGGAACTGACTTCTTTAAAAAAAATGTATATGGTAGAACATGTTCTTGTACTACACAATATAATTATGTGTGATAGCATGCAAGTTAAAATGCTGTATGAAAATGTCTGTCAGTATATGTCCATATCAATTAATGTGAATAACCATATACATGTGTCAAAGAAATATACATACACGTGTATATTTAAGGAATGACCAAGATTTGGTTTTGGTATATACGGTATATACCGAAAATGAATCGCGATTTATGCAAAAAAGTGCACAATATGTTTTCGGTATATGCCATATATACCAAAACAAAATCTTGGGCATTCTTTATAATTTAATTTAAAAAAAAGGAGACAAACACGTTGAAATGCACAGTTAAAGATTTATTTAATTTTTACGTAAACTAAACAATTGGGCTAAAAAAAGCTGCGTTGTAATTTTGCATTCTGAAGAGTAAAAGTAGTTCTGTCATCAGTTGTTTTTCTTTTTAGGTATGTACGATATATACCAAAAAAAATATTATGGGGGAGATAGGCAAAATTAAATTATATATATATATATATGAACATCTGTACATGCATGTATACTAGAGAAACTAGACAATAACTTCCTGTTTGTCAGCCATTCACAACAATCATCTTTTTCTGATAAAGTTATTCAATCCATTTACATTTTTAGCGGGCCTATCAAGCTTTTAGAATTATACATTGATAAGTATGTATGCATGCATAGCA